TACTCTCCTTGATTGAACTCAAGGGTTACCGGTACTCACAAATATGTCGCACTAATATAGCTATTGCTTTGACCGTGTCGGTATACCCCGCACAGTTTCCATAATGTATTGCTATCTATGAATGTTTCCCAAAATCCGGGTGTAGGATTGCAAACCCAAACGAAAGAGCCAAGATATAAAGCAATCAATTCAAACAATTAGTCATGCAAGAGGGTGATCTAAGCCCTAAGGTTACTCCACTTTTAAATATTATTATCCCCAGCAGAGTCGCCAGTTCTGTGATACGGTGGGAGAACTGACTGTGGTTTTGCGTTTGTATTCTAGTTCAGAATGGATGTTTAGAAAGTGTACAAAGTTTTTGCTTAAGCTTGGTTTACAGGAAATGAGAGTTGTTGTCCAAAATGCTATGTTTCTTCACACTTAAGCAAGAAGATGTCAAGTGGAGTTCTAGACTGATAGAGGCCCCCCTAATGTGCTGCAAACCTTGGCCTTGATCAGTGTAATTAGTCTAATAACTTGTGCCAAATAGATTTGCACTGTCCTTGCTTGGATTGTTAATTGACATAAAGTTCACTTTTGCAAAAATGGTTAAAATGCTTTTTCTACTTTGGGATTAAACCATTATGCAATGCTTGAACACATAGAATATGGTCTTGGCACAAAGAGTTTGCATTAAATTTATGAGTGTAAAAAGGATTTAGGGCCTGTAATCAAGGAATGCATGCTGATTTGAAAATTGCCTAAGTGTATGAACATGGAAATTGGCCATAACAAAAGTGAGTTTTTCCCATATTACCAAATTCGATTCCCCCTAACCATGAGGTTGTTTGATGAGTTCTTGGACATTTTGGAAAGCTTAGAATGTGTACTTAAATCCATCTTTGAAATGAAAATTGAAATTCCAAGTGGAAGTATGTGAAAAATGGTCTTGAAGTTAGGCAAAAATCCTGCCTAAAATAGGTCAAATTTTCTCTAAGTTAAGAATGGTTTGGCACCCTTGTTCCAAAAATTGTAACTTGAGATACAAGCTTCTTTTGGGAAAACTTTGTGAATCAAAGTTGTAGATTATGCAATAGGCTACAACTTTCATTTTTTGACTTTTGCTTGAATCCATATGAATCTTGGTGAGAAAGTGGGGCAAAGTTAGAAAAAAATTAGGGTTTTTCATAACTTAGAAAAATTCTAAGTTATGAAAAATCTTCATTTCAAACCCTAATTTGCAATTCTTGATTTCTTGATGAACAAGTTTCATGATTTGGCATGTTTTGATTAAAAATGAATCTTGACACTTGATTTTGACCAAAAAGTCAAAGTTTGACTTTTCAGTATACAGTCAAAATTGATCAATTGACTGGGAAATTCAACTGTCAATCTTGTGCATTTGGGATCTTTTGAACTTGTTGAGCATTTTAAGACAATTCCATGGGGTCCTTGAGTCCATATGTGAGCTTGGTTTGCCATTGGCTAGGTCAAACAGTCAAAAATTACCTTTGTGCAGTCAAAACCCTAAAAATGACCATTTTGCCCTTTTGGTGATCTGATCAAATTTCTTGTGGAATTGTGATCCAAACTTGATCAAATGGTCCATGTGAGTTAATAATGTTGATGTGGGTCAATTTTCATGATATTTGACTGTCAATTGGCCATAGTTGACTTTTTCCTCAATACAGCTAATTTCTAGGTCAACTGTCCAATTGACTGGGCAAAATTTGGAATCAAGACTTGAAACTTGGTATGGATAAACTTGGGAGTCCCATGTGAAGCATGAAAGTCATCTTAGGAATTTTTGGTCAAAACATCTTTGTGCAAACACAAACCCTAATTTGGGTCAACAGTGCAAGGAGAAGTCTTGAGCAGGTGAAACCCTAACTGGATCTTGAGCTTCAAGGGCTTTGTGATGAGAAATCAATGAGAAATGGGAGGGAAAATTTTGGGGTACAACAGAGAGCAACAATGATGTTGATGGTTAAGTTGGTATCAACACAGTTTAAAATTGAGGTGGATATTTTTGGAATATGTCTTAAAACCTTTATCGGTGAAGATAAAGAAAACATGTTTCGAGATTGCCAAAAATCATAAGCCAAAAAGTAATCTGGTCCGAGAGATTTACGAGTATCGGGTTTTGTCGGTCCGGTTCATTGTTCCATTTATTAATGTTAGAATATTTTATGTTAATTTAGAGATCATATAAATTAGTATAAAAAGATATTATAAAATATTTATAATATTCTAAAAGTTATTATAAAATATATATTTATAATATTCTACAAGATATTATAAGATATGGATTTATAATAGTCAAAGAGATATTATAAGATATTTATGATATTTGAGAGATATTATAAGATTATAATAACATCTTTTATTCTAATAATTAAGGAGATCTGTTTTGGGATTCGTTATGGATTTCTTGGATTTTGGCTATTATAAATATGTATCTCTTTCTGTTATTATATAAGTGTTACAATCTTAGAACTTACAACAACAAGGGAGAGCAAAGGTTTAAAGGCATATTATAGGGTTTTGACTATTCTCAATGAAAACCTTAGAAAGGAAAGGATTTTGGAAACTTTTTGAGTTTGAGTTATTCATATATTGAAGGTTGAAGAGGTTGGGAAACACTTGGGTAGAAAATAAGGTAATTCTTAGGCGCGTTGTTCTTGGGAACCTGAAGGTGGAAGCTATTTTCTTGTAACTCATATGTAATCTTTTTGTAACAACTTTCTGAGTATAATGAATTGAAGAGCTGCTCTCTTTCCTAGAGTAGATCGTTTGATAGAACTGGAAAAATAAACCTTCGTTTTTCTCTCGTCTTATTCTGTTATATTATCTGTGTACGAATTATTATTGTTGTAGATCATTTATTTTGATTGCTACTATTATTTGTCTCACCAATTGATATTGAATTTTATCGTAATTCACAACAAGATTCTCAACAGCCTTTATAACGTGTGGCGACCGCCACATCCCATGGCGAGCACCATGCTCATAGGACGACTAAGACTTGGTCTTTTGACCGTTGAGACGTGGACCACTCTTGGCCACCACTATGGTGAACGCCATAGGAGTCGCCTTGAATGCATTATTGCCTCAATTCTTTAGTTTTTCATCTGTTTTGCTTCGTTTCTCCGCATACGACTCTCAAATGATCAATTACCTTAAACGTAGTCAAAATACCACCATAATAGTGAAAATATAAAATAAAATGATAATAAATATATATAAATCGAATCAAATGGATAGTGCATTTTGGCCTTATCATTCCCTTTCTTCTTAAATGCAACTATTTTATTTCCTCTCTTTCTTAAATGCAACTTTCTTCATATTTTTCCTCAAGATGAGTTCTTCCAACATTGACACATAATCCTAAATAAAACTTTAACTTTATATTATAAAACATTCCTCTTTTCAATTTAATTCCTAAAATATGTTTTAAAAAAGAAGATTATTTTTTTCTCATTTTCCATAATAATAAAGTCAAATGTTTTTGGTATACATTTCGGACCAAATACTTTTATCTGTATTAGAAAAAAGTTGCAATTCTAATAAATTATTTTTATTAACTATTGATAATTTGCTCACTTGAAAATATTTTATTGGTCATATTTATAAAAGAAAAAGAGTAAAAATAAATGAATGTAAGAAAATAAATTAGTAATTAATATTGTATGTTAAAATAAAATTTAAAACAGTTTGTTTGCTAAAATGACACAACAGCAAATAATATTTTATCCAGTAGTTTTTTAATGGACGATGCTTTCTTAAAAAAACTATTACACTTATATAGTAAGTAGTTTAGTGTTCACAAATGTAGTGAATAATGTTGTTTTGAAATAAAATGATATAAAATATATTTTTTTATTAAATTTGTTTAATATAAATAATCATTTTATAACACAAATATAAAATTGTATTATTAAACAATTTCATCACTTTATTAATCATAAAATTATATTTTATTAACCATTTATTTTAATTATAATTTATTATTATTTCATTAATTTATTAATTCACAAAATACATAAAATTAACCATTTTCAAATATTAAACTATGAACCATATTAATCGATCTTTAACATTTAATTAAACAACTTTATTTTACACATAATTTTTTTTATGTTTACCCATTTATTAACTAAATTATAAACTTATTTAATTAATATTTTATATACTATTAATCAAAATTAATTTATTACATAAAAGTTATATTTTAATTTTAGTGCACTAAATAATTAAATTATAAATTGTGTTAATCAATTTTTTATATTTATTTAATCAACTTTACTTTATCATTTAAGATTTCTTTTTGACTTTCAATATTTTATTTGTTTTGCTAGTGATGCAAAACTAATTTAGTGTTTTTTTTTTGGCTTCCCACGTCATACATGTATATATTTATTGGGTTGAAACATTATAAACTAAATTATATTTAAATTTTAGATAAAGTTATATTAAGGGTTTTTTATGTTATATTTTTTAACATGCTCATCCTTTAAGTGTTTTTTTAATAATTTGGTTTTTAAGGTGATTTCTACTCTTTTTTCTCACATTTTAAATATTTAAAATATTGATTGTTGTATTTCTAATTACACTTTATCATTTTTATATCATTCAAAATAATTACATTCAAAAAATTAACTATTTTTATATGTTAAAAAAGAATAATCATGTACACATTTGATAATTTAAATGATCAAATTATCGTAAAAAAAAAAAAAAAAATTTAAAAGTTCAATCTATTACAAACAAATAACTTAAAAGAGAGAGATATATTTTTAACAAAATTTCATTATTTTAGTTTTTAAAATATTTATTTTTATATACATAACTTTTTTTTTTTAGTGAATTTAAGAGACTTTTTTTTTTCTTTTGACTAAAATTAATAGCCTTGTCTTAGTGAATATGCAAATTCAAAGTAAGTCAAATTCTTTAACTTCAATAACATTTAATTTGAAGAAAGAAAATAAAAAATCTCTCAGCACAATCAAGAGAAAGCCAAAATGTATAGACCAAATTGGAGGTGGAGAACGAAGAAGTTCGGGCTACCTTCTGTTTTCCTCTTATGCATCTTCTTCTTTCTTGCTGGATTCTTTGGTTCCAGATTATTCCATCACTCTCAGGTTTTTATTTTTAATTTGTTGTTTATTGTACTGGAAAATGTTTCTAGCAATTGATCACTTAAATTTTCAGGAATATGAATATGGACTTAGAACGAGGTTGCAGGAGAAAGAACGTCATTTGTTGCATGTAGGAGAGTCTGCTGATAATTTCATTACTTCAATTCCTTTTCAGGTTCGCGAGTTCTTAGTCTTCACAATTTTTCTGCTCACATGTTGTTATTGCTAGGTTAGTGCATTTAGTTGGTTCATTATATTTTGACGAGATTTAGTTAAATTACAGCTATAGAGTTGTAGAATTTAGATAAATCACTATTGTTTTGTGGGGTTGAATACGGTAAGTGTTACAAACCATAATCATTATTAAGCATTCCTAATTATAATGAATGACAATTGTAACTTTATTTGTGTTCTTCAGATTTTGAGCTGGAACCCTCGCATTTTATATTTTCCCAATTTTACAAGTGTGAAACAATGTGAAAGCATAATTGATATGGCAAAGGTAGAGCTTACACCATCAACAATGGCAACGGGTATAAGTGATATTCGAAGAACAAGGTACAATGTATGTTCTCTGTCTATAGAAAAATTAATTATTAGAATAAGTAAAAGTACTTACTAAGAATTATTATGACTTCTCAAAATATATCAATCTTACTCCAACGTATTAAATCATATCAGGAGCTTACATGTTTATCTTTTTCAAACAGTTCTAGTATGGTTATTAGTGCTTCTAAGGATAAAACGGGTGTTTTAGAAGTCATTGAGGAGAAAATAGCAAGAGCTACAAAAATTCCCAGGACTCATGGAGAGGTAACATTCTATTATGGCATTTGCTACCTTGCTATGTAAGAAGGGAATAATTAAAAAGCTTATTCATGTCATTAATATTTAACTTCAGTCAGTTACTTTTTGAACTTAGGATGTTTTATAAATCATCTGAGAAATCAGTGTTTGTGTTTCAGATATTTCGTATCCTCCGATATGAGGTCGGACAAAAATATGATTCTCACTATGACGCAACTGATCCAGCTGAATTCGATCCAGCTGAATATGATTATCAAGAAAGTCACAGGGTATGTGAAAACAAAACGTATACATTTTAGTTTGCAGTTATTCTATAGTTCGTAATTTATTTATGATTATTAATGCCGTTACTTAAAGTTTATTGTCTACCGTCTAATTTTTATACAGTAGAAAATTTTTAAATTAATACTCGATAAATTAATAAACTCTTTAAAATAATAAATTTCTCCGGTCCTGACTTGAACCAATGTAAAAAATTGAAAAACTCGATACAATAATAAGATAATAATTTTTCGAGAGATCCCTTTATAATTTTCGGTCTCAAGAAAATCATAAATTAATAATTCATAGAAACTGAAGAAAAAAAAAATATTATACTCTATTGAAATATGTCAAACTTACTTAAGAATACATTGAAAACATTTGTTCATCTTATTTATATTTACGGTACTTCAAAAGTCATTTTTGATTTCCAATGCATATGAATACATTAGTTACTAATTTATATTGAGTCTCAAGGTTCGCTGCAACGTAATTCTAAGAGGCATAGACTAATTTATTTTTTTGTTTGGTATGTACAGTATAATTACTTAAAAACTCTTTAAATTAATAATTATTAATTTATCGACAAATTAATAACTCTCTAAATTAATAAATTTTTCACGTCCTGACATTATTAATTTAAAGAGTTTCTACCGTAGATGATTCCATATTTAAAAAATAATATTATAATACTTGAGAGTTGAGAGGGGAAGAATTTGAAAAAAAGAAAAGATTGTGTGGAAAAAAGTAGAGGGGTTTAGATTAGGAAGAATCGGAGGATTCGGAAGATTCGGATAGTTTGTTTTTATTCTTAATACAAAATCCTCTTAATTCGAAGAAATTGAAAATTTATATTAAAACATGGTTTTGGAAAATTTTAAAGGATTTACATAAATTTTTTAAATATATTTTATATTATTATAGTAAACTAAAAACAAAAATTATTATAATAATAAATATTATTTTATATAAAGTCATTCTTTCAATAAATATTAAATATTTCTCTACATTTTAAAAAAAAAAAAAATTTGAAAACTTTATCTTCCAGCCCAAACAAAGCGTAACAGTTATTGTGGGTTTAGATGTCTAAATAATTACCCTTTTATAAACCACTCACATATATTACTAAGGTGTCATTTTTATCTCATCTCTAAAAAAATCAATAGTATTATCATGTTACTCATAACTTGATCGGTGAGTTTCTAATCTAACCGGGTGATTTAATATATAATAATTTTTTATAAAACTCATTTTTTACACCATCATTTTTTTTGTTATCATGCAGGTAGCTTCATTTGTGTTGTACTTAACGGATGTCCAAGAAGGTGGGGAAACCAATTTTCCATTTGAGGTAAAACCCAGTTCATCGTTACATTTTGATTCACTTGATATTTCCCATTTTCTTTTTTTTCTTCTTTGGAACAAAATATCTTTCATTTTCTAGTCATGCATTTTAGTAACTCATGCGTTGTTATTGTGTAGAATGGGTTGAACATGGATGGTAGCTATCATAATAAGGATTGTATTGGTTTGAAAATAAAACCACAGAAGGGAGATGGACTTCTATTTTATTCTTTCTTCCCTAATGCTACATTTGATCGGGTTAGTATTTCATCCTCGCCATGTTTAATTATAATCACTTTTTACCATTCACAAAGCTGTGGGGCCTCAAACCTTTTAGATTCAATGATCATTGATTACTCCGTTGTTGTCTTTCTGAACTAGTGAATTTTTTCTGGAGTGACACAGAGATTCATGGTTGAAAAGCTTTTGTCTTAATGGAGAAGTTAAAAGGCCATAGAGTGTATTCAAATATTAGAATAAAGAGGTTTTTGGGAATCTTGACTCCCAATTAGATAATTTCATATAGGAGGTGAGTAAAGTAGATTCTTTGGCTGACTTTGACCTTTATTTGTTGAGGTGATTAATTCTAGATCCAGGGTGTTTGCGGTCATGTGGTCCTTGCTTAGGATTAAAGACTTTGAAATGTTCCAAAGATCTAGGGCTAAATGGCTTAAGGAGGGTGACACTTATTCTAGTTATTTACATCCATCTATTAAGAGTAGAAGCAAAAGGAATGTTATCTTATCTCTAAATATTTGTGATGAATGGGTAGAAGGGGTGTCAGATATTATACGAGAGGTAGTCGAACATTTCACTAAGATTTTTAAAGAACCAAATGTTGATAGACATTGTCTAAATGGTGTAGTTTTCTGCTTATTTTCAGATGATGATAACATTTCTTTATTGGCTCCCTTTAGTCTCCAAGAGCTAGATTGTGATGTGGCCCAGTGTGATGGTAACAAAAGCCAGGTCCGAAAAGTTTTAATTTCTCTTTCTTGAAAAAAAAATTCTAGAACCTGCTTAGAGTTTACCTAAGGATTATGTTTGAGAAATTCCACTATTTTGCATTTTTACCTCGTAGTTTTACATCATACTTTATTACTTTGATCCCTAAGTTTAACCCCTATCTCATTTAGGATAATTTAGACCTATTTCTTTGGTGGGATCCTTATACAAACTTGTGACTAAAGTGTTAGTCATTAGACTGGATAAACTTATATCCTCTAATCAATCATCTTTTTAAGGGGAGATTATTGGTTGATGGAGTGGTGGCTACCAATGAGGTGGTCAACTTGGCCAAGAGATCTAAAAGAGCCTGCCTCATTCTTAAATTGGATTTTGAGATGGTGTATGATTTAGTTAGTTGGAAGTTCGTGGATTATATGCTTATCAAATTTGGATTTTTTGAGAAGTGGGGGCCTTGGATGAGAGCTTGTGTTTTTGCTAGTAATTTTGTGGTGCTAGTAAATAGGTGTCCTACTCAAGTGATCAACATCCAAAGGAGTTTGAAGCAAGGAGATCCTCTAACTCCCTTCCTTTTCCTTCTAGTGGCTAAGGGGCTTAGTGGTCTAATTACTAGTGCTGAGGAAATACATGTTTACTCAGGGATCAAGGTTGGTACATATTGGTTTGTAGTGTCCCGCCTTCAATTGTTGATGATACTCTCCTAGTAGCTGACCCTATTCTAGAGAATCTGCGGAGTATTAAGGCAATTCTTATAGGCTTCAAGCTAGTTTCGGGGTTTCGAGTGAATTTCTTTAGGAGTGGTCTTATAGGGGTGAATGTGGATTCTATCTTTCTAATCTCTGTAGGAGATTTCCTCCACTGATAAATTCTTTCCCTTTTAAGTATCTTGGATTGCCCGAGGGGGCTAACCCTCGACTTGAAGTCACTTGGGATACTTTAGTTAACTTGATGCAAAATAGACTATATTCTTGCAAGCATAAATATGTTTGGATGGTGGAGTGGTTCTTCATAATTCTATGTTTAATGGTATCCTTATCTTTTTCTTATCTTTTTTGAAGATGTTTGTAACAGTTTGTAAAAACTTGGTCAAGTTTAAAAGAAGGTTTCTTTAGGGGGTGTGAATCGTGCTTCAAAGATATCATGGGTTAACTGGGAAGATGTTTGCAAGCCTAAGATTAGATGGGGGTTGGGAGTGAAGGATCTTTGGTTGGTTAACCTCGCCTTATTGGAAAAGTGGATACAAAGGTTAGTCACAGGGGTTTCATGTCTTTGGAGGTATATTCTTGTAGCTAGATATGGAGTTACCCAAGTTTTTTTCTCTTTGTTCGGAGAGGATCTAGGGTTTCCTCTATTGTTATTCTTGGTAGAAATGGGTGTCTCTTCTAGGGTCTAAAGAGGAAGATAACTTATATTGGTTTATCGATGGTGTCATTAGGAATGTTGGATCGAGTACTCAAACTTCCTTTTGGAAAGTTATGGACTATCCCCTTAAATACTAAGTTCCTTGGCTTGTTTTGTAATTCTCATCAATTTGATGGATTAGTGAGAGATTGGCTTGGTGATTAACGGGTTTTTGACTTGGGATCTTCGGTGGTGGAGAAATTTCTTTCTTAGAGAGCTTCTTGTTTATGAGGAGCTTCTATATTTGTTTTGATATGTCACTCTCTCCCGAGATAGAGATAAGTGGATTTTAAAGCATGCTAGAAAGGATACTTTCTCAGGGCCTTGCGTACCTTGCTCAGAGTATTAGATCAATCTCTTTGTTGGCTCCTTCTCTGGAAGAGAGTACGATCGCCTTCCTTCTTTGGAGTAGTTGGGTCCCTTCTAAGATTTTGGTCTTCTCTTTTCAACTTTTGCAAGATAGACTTCCATCTAGAGTGAATCTATCTAAGATTAGGGTAATTCTAAACCCTACTAGGATCTCTTGTCCCTTATGTGGATTTTTGTTTGAGATGTCTCCTCACCTCTTTGGTACTTGTGATCTAGATTTGTCTATGTAGTATAGAGTATATAAGTGGTTGGGGTGGCAGGTAGTCATTCCTAATGACCCTAAGGTGTTTTTTGAGTCTTTTCTTTCTCTAGGGGACAAGGTAAGTATAGGAGTGGTTACCTTTTAATTTGGCACATTGTAGTCTGGTCCATTTAGAAAGTATGAAATGATGTAATCTTTTAGTAGACACAAAATAAGCGAAAAAGGTGGAGGAGAAGAGTTTTTTTGGCCTGGAAATGGTTTCTGGGTAGATCAGGGGTGAATTCATGCACCTTCATTGAAGGTATTCATAACCCTATCCTCTACTTGAACCTATAGAGGATCGAGTGTTCTACTTGGTTTCAAGGTAGTTTTTGACATCTTTTTGATGTTCTTTTAATGAGATATGATTTGTTGATATTGATTTTGATAGTTTGAGATCTAACTTGTTATCATTGGAAGTGAAATTTTAGTAGCTTGAGTACTTTTTTGCGAGGACCCCTTGGTCGGTTGAGTTTTGCTAGTTTGATTGTTGTTTGTTGTACTGTTGTTTTCTTCTTCTTTATCTTTTGTTGTCTCTTAGCACTTCTTGTGCTTCGAGACTATATTTATTGTACTTTGGTGATTTTTCACTCCCTTTTTACATATTAGTATTTAGTATTTTCCATTAAAAAAATCAATTCATAAAGTTACAGAAAAGAACATTGCAAGTACATACATACACATTCAACAGAAGTTGTCTCATTCTGATTAATATTCAAGTTTGAAAGAGTATATAAAGTACAAGAATGTTACATGGTTGGTGTTATAATATACAACAAACTAGATTGAACAAACTCTTTTGTATGCTAGGAAATTGTTTGGACGAACTCCCTCATTGAGATATGCAAAGGGTTTTTCCTTTAAAGAAGAAGACTTTCTTAAGTTAGTTGTGCATTGTGATACTTTTCTTGAAGTTGAGCATTAACATACTTTCTCATGAAGAAGGGCCCATGTATGTTGGCATCATTTCCCTCTCCATATAGGTCTTAGCTTGATAACATGTTTGAGTATGTTCTTTGGGGGCTCGCTAGAATTTGGAAGAGTTTGACGTCTTTTAAAGTTGTAGTGTTCTCTTGAAAGTTGTTTTGAAATAGGTTTTCAATTAGGCAAAATCTCTAGAGGCATCAAATTTTGTCGAGTAGTAGTGATGTAAGATATATTGTGTATGTTGGGAAGATGGAGTTGGCTCACTGTCTCTTTGTGTTGTGCGAGTTTGCTTCAGATATCTGATATAAGGTATTTAGGTTGGTGGGGAAGCCTAGGCCTTTGATGTAGTTGATTTATGGTTGTTTGAGATGTTTCAAAGTTTAGGTGAGGGAAAGGTGGTTTTTTTATGTCTGGTCTCATTCTAGTATTATGTGGTTTGAACTATTTAGAAATTCCATAATAAAGTTACTTTTAGGCATGAACGTTTAACGGTTAATCACTAGATGTCTTTGTTTATTAGTTTGGCGTGGAAGCGGGTTTAAGTCCATGCTCCAAATTTTGACGTTTCTATGTTAGATTGAGAGCGGGACCCGCACAAGTGATTGGGTATTTAGGTGTGTGATGGGTGGTCATTTTCCCTCATTTTGTTTTGGCATGTGTTTGGGTCTTCCTTCCTTCAACTTGTTCTTTTCATATGTGTTTTGTGCTTGTGACTTAAGAATAGATCAGACCGGTGGTTGGATGGCTATTTTCTTTTTGTAAATCAATAAAGTGGTTGTTTATGGTTTGTTGTTTTTCTCTTTATTTAGTTCTGATGTTGTTTGGGTTATCCTTTTTGAGTTGTTTTTTCGGGTTAGGTTTTTCCTAGTCATACCCCGATTTTAAAGCTTTAGTGAAATGTTGGTGATCTTTGTTTCTGTTTGTAAACTTTTTTCTTTTTTTTTTAATTATTAATATATGGCTCCTTCTTTGCTATTAGAAGAAGGTCAATTAACAACAATACTGAAAAATGGTGAGATTAAGAAGAGAGATCGATGGTGAAAGAATTGTGGTGAGTAGAATGATTGGTAGCCCATTTAGGATTGGAAGAAGTGATCACACTAGTGGAACAAAGATACGATTAAAGTTGGAAAAGGTAAAGAAGAAACTCTATCAAATGTTCTATGTGAGCAAGATAGGCAGAAATGGCGGTGGAGCATTGACTTTATATGAAGTTTAAAGAGAAGAAAAATAAAATCTTGAACACTTTAAAACTCAATAGCTTGAAGCTATAGATACCACTTGTTAGAACTATACAAACACATAGAACATAGAAGATAAAGATAGAAAATGAAATTAATTTGTGTGCATTGCACTTCATATTCACATTCTTCTATGAATGTGTATGTATATTCACTATTGAACTAATGATAATTGTTTATAAATTATTTGACAATATTTTTATAAATTTGGCAGGCATCACTCCATGGTAGTTGCCCCGTAATTAAAGGGGAGAAATGGATAGCTACAAAGGGGATAAGGAATCAATTACATTATGAGAACTTCTGATTAGATGGTACCTGTAATTGGGATTCAAATCTTCTTCCATGTCTGTTCCATGTTAATCTCCCCAGAATTCTGATGAAACTCCTTCATGATGTTGTTGTAACAGGATTTTATTGAAAATTCTTGATCTGTAGTTGCAAACCAGATCAACCTATCTTCAGCTTCTTGGTCTGGAGTAACACCTACAACCAGCTTTAGTATCCATGTCTTCTTCAACCACTTGAAGGATCCAGCTCCAAACACATTTATCCAAGATCCACAATCACTCACTCATAAAATTTGAATAAAACAGGATAATTTGTTGTAAGAATCATGTTTCTTATCCACCTTCCCTTCCAAAATGGGATAGATGTTTCATTTCATAGTCTGAAGTTTACAAGAGCTTTGAAATTGTCTCATTTTCATCATTTACAGTTATGTTACAAAAAAGGGCTACATCGACATTTGTGCTTTTACAAACATTCTCCCAACTAACCCTAGTAATGGCTCTTTTATCCTCAGTTCCATGCCAAAGGAAATTCCTCTGAATTTTTATAAATCCCTTTTTCACCTTCACTGAAATCTTGTAGAAGGACAAGTGATGAATGGGTAAGTTGTTTAGCATAGAGTTGAGTAAAGTGACTATGCCCCCAATTGATAGAAATATGCTCTTCCATGTTGATAACTTATTGTTTAAGGTACTAAGAATTTGTTTCCAAGAATCTGCTCATCTTAGATTAATGCCCATGTGTATTTCCAAATTTCTGAAGGGGGCGTTATCAGGGGCAGATCCGGTCATTATAATATTAGTGTGATTAAACATAAAATAAAGTATGAACTAAAGAGAGAAATCAAACCATTTAAAATAGTTATTCATATTATAAAGAGAACGGTAAAATCAATTTATTATAAAGAAAATCATTTAAGAGAAATTGAGCAAATTGTTTTTTTATAAATAAATTGAGGTTTTATGGTTCAACTAAAAAAGGAGAAAAGAATAAGAGAAAATTGAAATACTCACTTTATCTTTGATTTTCAATCACCCATAAATAAATGCAATCAAGTCAAGTGAAAAAATTAGAGAAAGAAAATGAAAGGTTTGTTGGAACAAGTCAAAGCTTGAATGGTGAATCAATAGTGTGTGTGATAAGGTGACAGAACTGACTGTTTATACTGGTTTTGCGTTTGTGTTCGCAAATGTTGCGGTAAGCAAGAGTCGCCACCGACTTTTCTTTTATCCAAATTAAAGAAAGGGTGAAAAGAACAGAAAAAAACCTTTTCGAGAGTTTTCTGAGTAAGGGGGATAGATTATAGAAAGGGAAGGTGTTAGCACCATTTCCATCCGTAGTTATCTACGGGCTCTTAGATGCTTATCTCATTTTTTAAATATCTTGTGCTTTGTGTTTTTGAAAAGTATTTGAAAATGCCTTAGTGCGACGATTCGCTTTATGATAACTCTTGTATCAGTCCCCAAGAGTGTTGATAAAGCGAATGTTTTTTAAAGTGTTTTTTGAAATATTTTTGTGTAAGTGCAAAAGTTTGTTTTGAGCAAACATCTAACAGCTATCTACTTGTACTCGAAAAGGTTCGTTCTTTTCCGCATATTCTTTAGACAGTGCTATCCTACTATTAGTGAGTAGGTAGCCTTATCGTTGGATGTTTGAGGGACATTCGAAGGGACGTTTTTATAGTCACAAAGACAACTGGGCAAGAAGCTTTAGTAGCTACCCTAGGATTCTAAGATCATATTTTTTCTGAGGCAACGTCGAGAGGGTCATCGAGGAACTTATGATCTTTTTGAACCAGAGGGTAGCCACTAAAACCTCTCACGTTTCGAGAGTTGTGAGTATTTTCCGAAGACAACCGAAGTGGGAGTATCCTAAAGGTGCGTATGTGGAAGGGGTGTTATGTTCAGTTATTTTAGTCTTGAGTTAGGTTTGCTAACGTTTGATTATTAGGCTCTTGTCATGCAATCCTATTATCATACACCTAAGCAGTTAATATATATACAGGAATTAAAAGTGCGGAAATGTAAATCCTACGCTATTACATGGTTTTGGGGATTAATTACATGTCCAAAACTTGGAAAAATAAAGAAATGCGGTAAATAGTCCAAGTTAATTTCTATTACATCCCCTGAGTAAGTACAATAATATAAAAAATAGTGACGAAGCAATAAACGCGTGCGAAATTGAAAATAACGTCTAAAAATCCTAAGAAATAAAAATCTTTTGGTTGTTTTTGTTTATGAAAGAAAATAAAGTCTAAGTCTATTTAATTTTAATTTAAATAAAATGTTAAATTAATTAATTAATTAACTTTAAAAAAATACTAACCTAATGTTTTTTTGTGATTTTATTTAATTTTTGATTTAAATGAAGTGAGTAAAAATAAAAATAAAAATAAAAATAAATGCAAGAGAAAGGATCCTTCGATCAAAGAAAAAAAATGGCCTTCGATCTTAATGAAAGATGGCCTTCGATCCTGTGAAGACATGTGGTCTTCGATCCATGCGAAGGAAAACCTTCGATCCTGTGAAGGATGGCCTTAGATCCTGTGAATATATGCGACCTTCGATCCAGCCAAGAATATTGTTGCGGGCGTTTGATGAATTGCCTGAGGGGGAAGGCACTGAAATCTGCAAGAAAAAGTGTCAACAAAACAAAAGCATGGCCTGGGTGTGAACCCAGGTCTTTTTCCTAATTCGACCTCCCCTTAATTCAACTCATTTGAGTTCGAATATGGGCTTATTTGCCTTAAAATCCATGATTTCTTGAGATTCGATGAAGAGCACATATCATGCCCTCTATCTTTGTATGTTCCCTGTGAATGTTGTGCTATATGCTATCCTAGGCATAAATCAAACACTGGAAAATATTAATACATCATGAAACATGAATATGAATTAGAAAGTTTACCAAGGATGAGATGCTTCGATTTGGTGTGGATTGGCTTGGGGTAGACTCTAGGGAGTCTCAGGGGCATAAATATAGTATCCGTTTGGATTGAGGGTGCCTGCAAAACTGGTTAGAATTTTTTGATATGTTTTCAGAGGCAGCGTGTGCGTAAGTAAGTAGTCTCCTCTTGGCTGGTGTTAATGTCTTGTATTTATAGGAGTGACAGGAGACAAGAAAATGGAGAAAGAAACATGTCCTTAAAGGCTAGCCATGAAACATGGTTTTGAAAATAAAATCAGACCAATTTAAAGATTTCTATTTAGAGAATTTTCATGCCATTTTGGGATTGGGAATGAACCTGGACAGGTGATAATTGGCGCCTTGTACGAATTCAAATTTCTCAGAATTTTCTTCACCAGAGTGTCTTCGTTCAGCCCCCAAGCGTTACTTTCTTCTATTGCCTTTCCTTCGAATTGCCCTAGGCCTCAGCATCATGGCTTTCAATTCAGCCACTATTTGCTTTAGTAGCTTAATCTGAAACTCTTCAACTAACCCAATCGAATGATTTTTTTGGCCAGTCGAAGCTCCCTTTGGCATGAATGTGCTTGTGAAGAGGCTTGAGCCTGGCAGTATGTTGGATTCTGGTCAGCAAATCTCTTAGATCAAGACTCATCATAAAACAAACTTATTTCCAATGATTGTGTGTCTCCTTTGAGTGGAACACATGTATATCTTTCGAATGGCCCTTTTTCATTCTTCGAATGGGCCACCAATGTGTGCTCATAATGTGGCAACCCTATGTTTGTGAAACAAAGGCAGGCATGAAAAGGAAATCTATGCCTTGTGCGCTGAAGGCAAGCCCAGAAGAAATTATTTTCTTATGGGTCGAAAGCAAACACAGAGGCAAGTTGAAGGGGCCTTGGCATTGTGGAAGATTTGTGAACTAAGCTTGATCGAAGGAGAGTCAGTTCCCAATCGGAGCTTGTACACATGAGTCCACTGCTGGTGAGTCAAAGCATACTTGTAGGGGGCTACTACTGGTGAATCGAAACAAACTTGCAGGGGGGCATATGCACAAATGAAACTTGGACCAAGGTGTTTACAGTGATTTCTAGTAAACAACCGCTAGTCTTCCAATTTACTAATTTATTATTGGTTACTTGCAGGATCGACTAGATTGATCCTAGAACACATGTGTCATAACTTATTTTTATGTTCATATCTATTATATTGATAGACTTATATTGTATGTTAAGTTTGAAGACGAGATTCTTAGGAAAGATTTCTAAAATGGTCTATAGGAATAAACTAATTGAATGTAGGCAGTAAAGGCTTCGAATTAGACTTGGGCTTGAATGTAAAGATAATTCTAAAATGGCTTGAATGTGAAGATAAGTATTTGACTAAAAGGATAAAGTAAAAGTAAATTGAAGGATTTAAGGGTAAAAATACTGTCTAACGAAATGACTGTGTTTAAAGACAAGTAAAACAAAGGAAATGCAAGGAAATCGAAGGATTTAAAGGGCAAGAATATTGTCTAACGAAATGACTGTGTTTAAAGACAAGTAAAACAAAGGAAATGCAAGGAAATCGAAGGATTTAAAGGGCAAGAATACTGTCTAACAAAATGATTGTGTTTAAAGACAAGTAAAACAAAGGAAATGCAAGGAAATCGAAGGATTTAAAGGGCAAGAATACTGTAAAGGCGAATTAAATATAACAGGACTTGTATTGAAATTGTAAAAAAGTAATGATGTTCAACACGTACATTGTATCTTCTAACTCGTTTTCCTTAATTCACGGAAGTAATGAGTATTTTGAGATCTTTTAGTACATAAAAGTGAACATTTTTTAAAACTAACATAAGAACACCTATTTATAGTGTTTTGACCCTAACGGCCCTATTCTAAAATTACGACACGTTCGAAGCATGCATGCTTCCTATGCTTGCTGACTTCCACGCGTCTTCTAGAATAGCGCTCTTTATTTGAAATTCGAAATATGTACCAATCGAAGCATCTTGCTTCTTCGTTGCTTTCGAAATAACCCAATTACTTGGGCCGTTTCCAACTTCTGGCACCCTTACATAAAGGAGCTCTTTTGTAATTCGAACACCAAAAAAGTCCGAATCAAAATCTGCTGGAACTTGAATAATCCTTCAACATAATGACTCCATATCTCCTACCAATATCCAATATTGATATTAATCTCCTTAGGTACTTCATTCGAAATATTATTTTGATAGTGGTTTCTTCCTTATTCGAAATAGCCAGCTAACAAATTGTTCCTTATTCGAAATAGCCAGCTAACAAATTGCCCCCCCAAGAACATGTATTTCGATAGATATAAAGAAATACTTGTTTCTTGACTCATCCAGGCTATTTCGAGAGTATCAAAAACTCATGCACTATCCTGCAGTGATTCTAACCTCTTGCAAGCAAGGTTTATACCTTTTTAAGTATTTCCCATTTACCCTCAAGATTCTTCTATCTTTTGCTAATTCTTCTATTTCGTAAGCATTATTCGAAAATGTTTTCAATACTCGAAAGGGACCCTCCCAATGGGGTGACCATTTACCTAATAACCTGTTCTTTTTATCCATAGGTAATATAACCTTCCATACCAAGTCATTGGTTGAGAACAACTTACTTTTAACTCTTTTGTTGTATGCTCTGGCTACTCTTTCTTTCTGTCTTCTCATAACTTCTAAAGCATGTAGCCTATCTTC